ATCTCCAATACTGCAATCTGATTGGTCAATTGCAAGGTGGCATGGTAGAAACTTAAGTACATCTACTTCTATAGTTTACACTGTACACAGCCATTTACATGTACATGCATTATATCTATTTATTTATATTGTATATTTGTTACTGTTTCTGGTGTTTATTATTTTATGGTATTACATGGTTTACATGTACATTAAATACAGTATACAATAATTTTCATATGTAACACAAACCATAACTGTGTGTATAGGAGTAGTCAGTATTGAGTTCAGTTACACCACAGACACATTATCAGTTAAACCAACAGCTAAGTGAGGCTCTGACAGTGCGGGGAGAGTTGGGACTCCATAAAGATTCTTTCTCTGGTTCTCAAGGCCAGACTGTCTGTCCCTTGCCCAGTGAGTGCTTGCACCTAAATTGAAAATACTGGCATCTTCTGATCTCAGAGCTGGAATTAGCAGTTTCCCCTCTAGTTTTAAGTATCCAGTGCTAGGGAATAGCTATTGTACAATACATATACATGTACATGTATATGTAGCTGGGTCCTGAGGCATAACCCAGGATTACACATCAGCACACTCACACACACACACACTATAAACTGGCTGTTAACTGTAATGTTTGTATCTCCCTTCCTACTATTATAGCCTAGGTACATGTCACTACTGTATAGATAGTGGTGTAACAATTTTCTCTCAGCCCTCCTCTAAAATTTTAGCAGGAATGATGTGAATTTCCTTGTCAGTGTATATTGTGTGGTCAAGTCATAGTCACAGCTGTACAACCCAGTGCATTCCCTTTGATCATTAATATTGTAGCTAATACTAGGAGTAGCCTTTATGGATATGTTGGGTATGAATGAATATTATTATAGGGCCATACCACTAAAGAGGGATACCCCTCACAACCACAGTACACAGCCAAGAATTATCATGCTGATACAGTAGTACTGCTGAAAGTTAATGAATCAGGTCTGATTACTGAAGTGATACAGTCCTGATATGCTATCAGGACTGTATCACTTAAGTAATCAGACCTGATTCATTAACTTTGGGCAGTACTACTGTATCAGCATGATAATTCTTGGCTGTGTA